TCTTTAAATGGCCCATATTTAAACATATTCAATAATACACATAATTAACAGTATATGATTACAGTGACTTCTGATACAATAGGGATCCATGTGATTTGCAAATAGTAGGGCTGTGTAAATGACAGACAATGGTTGTGATTGGGCCTGGCTTTGAATGAAACCCCATAATGGCAGATGGGTTCCAGGTGTGTGGTTGATCATGGGCCAGGGGTAAATCTGGGCATGACAAGAGCCAGTGAACCTCAGGATGGGCGTTCCAAGATGTTGGTGGAGAAAAGGAATGGCAAAAGTGCTTCCAATATGGAAATGATGTATAAATGGCATCTATGCTAATATTAGTCTGTTTCATTCTTATTCCGAGGTCACCACAGCCACCCAGATCCAGACCAGATGGTGGATCAGCACCTAGAGACAACCTCTACAGCCCTAAATGTCAGTGGAGACCATGTCATCTAGATGAGCCCTAGAGACAGATCCCCTGCGAAGACCTCGTCAACTCTAAAAATGCTGAGTTGTGTCAACCCAACTTTGGGCCAAATATGGACTATCCCAGCTGTTGGGTTAAATTTTGAAATTAAATTTTTAACCCAAAAGTTGGGTTAGTCCATGTTTGACCCAAAGTTGGGTTGAAACAACCCAGTATTTTTTAGAGTGACGACAATCAGCACAAGACCAGCAGCCTGGAATTAAACCACACCATGCTGGTTTCTGATGGAGTTTTGGTTCCTTGCCACTGTCGCCTTTGGCTTGCTTAGTTGGAGACACTTAATTCTGTCAATTTTGTCAGCTTGATTGCTCAGACACTGTTGGAAGAGAACTAAACTGAGCTGGATGATGACATCACTGAATCAACAATGAACTGACTTTAACTGAAAAAAACTGACTGTTTACTATTGTCCTCCTGCATTATCGACACACTGTTTTCCTGTTTAACACTGTAAAGCTGCTTTTGACACGATCTGTATTGTATAAAGCGCTATATAAATAAAGGTGACTTGACTTGTTAAATATAGTGAATATAGTGACATATATGCCAGGCTTAACAGATGAGTCTTCAGTCTAAACTTGTGTCTGAGTCAATATTCCAAATGTTAAGTGTCATTTGAACAACTCCTCCTTGTTCCTCCTTTTGTATGACCAAGTTTTACATGCATTTACATGTAAAATAGATATTGCGACTACAGATCGACTTCGTCCAGTGTGTATACTCTGAAAGACAAAGGTGACACATGCCGTTTATTTATCCGTCAAATATTTGAGTATTGTATTTTGATGACTATATCTTGACTTTGCAAAAACACGCTGTTCCTCAGTTGTAACTGTGCATGTAAATGTACTTCTGGTTATTCATTGTTTAGCAGAAAATTTTTCAGTTTTACAAAGAGTGCACAAAAAAAGTGTAAAACGTGAGTTGGAACAGTGAGGCATGATAGCAGACATGAACTATGGATTGAGTCCAAGTGAGGTACAACATAAGATAAGTATATCAATGCCCATCCTATATGGTTTAGGATGAACTTAAAGAATGTATTCATAATGATACATTATTCAACTTTATTGTTGTATGTATTCACCTAATGCCAAGTAGAAGAACATTTTATTGAAAATGCGAATGCTAGCTGGAGAACTATAACAAGATATTTTATTGTTTTTTTTAAAGCTGTTACACTATGAATAATGTGATTTATACAATTGTAATTTTATTTTACAGTTTTTCATTCTTTCTTATATTGATGCAAATTACCCCAACTTGTAGGCCTGTTATGTTATTGGGGGTAACTCCTTGGTAACATAAATTCTTGAAGTCTTCTAAAATGGCTGAATTTAAACTAGAAAGATGTGCCCATAGTGTGAGTTCTAGACTAACGGAAGTTATTTATGTTTAAGGCTGGAATACACTACAGAACTTTTAAAATGGGAACAGATTTAATAACACTGGGCATACACTTGCTGACTTTGTAAATGGTTACAGGGAAAAACTGGACATCATACACGACTGAAGATCACACACTACTAGTTTCAGGTAATTAAAAAAAAACTCATGCAGAAATGTGCACATTGCTAGACGACATGTGAGAAATGAAAATATGTGTTCTAAAATCACCTCAAAATATCAAACATGTTTGATATCCTCCGACTGAATGCAA